TGTGAGGTTGATATGTAAACCATCTGCTGCCAAAAAAGGTGAATTTCTCCATGCAGTCATGAGATTAAACCGTTCAAACAAGTTAACCCCTAACCACCACCTTGGCCAAACAGTCAAAGTGGATACGTCGGTCCAGTAAAGAATCGGTGCTTTAAAGCAAGAGTACTATATCACTACAGTTCTATGAAATTGCAGGTCCCTTTAAAAATCGTGGACACTGGTCTCTGATTCCAGCTTTCAGAGTTTTTTTGCCCAGACTGCACATTAGCAAAGAGCAGGCTTTAACTCCGAGCGGACCAGCAGGGTCCTATCCCTGATCTCTTCTCTCCTCCTAGGGGTGATCTGCCCATGGACTAGTACAGCCAATCTGGCTGCGTAGATCAACAAAGCTACTCTTCAATCAAAACCCCTCGCCTCCTTTTCCGATGGACTGTAGCTACTTCTGTGTTTCAGCAATAAGTGAAAAAAAGACAAAAAAGCGGAGTTGAAGAGCTACCAGCTGCTGCATATGCATCGCTGCTTTGCCCAGCGTGTCCATTAAATTACCTATGACTGTGGCCTCGCACAGTTTCATATAAAACGAAAATATTTTGCATGCTAAATTGTATTTTGCACCATTGCTCAGCAAGGTATCTCTCACTAGCAGTACAAGTATCTGTGATCGATAACTCGACCCTACCTTGTTGGTCTAGTATGGAAAGTGACAATTGCACATGCTCTGCAGAAGAAACCACAGAGAGAGAGAGAGAGAGAGAGAGAGGCACTGGTGACACTACTGATAAAGTAACAGAAAAATCAGTTTCTAAGATAACGCACACACATAAGTAGAATCCAGTATGTTATTAATACTTATCAAAACCATGATTTTCCACTTGACCTCCATTTTTAGTTTCAAGAACTTCTGGATTCCTTGATAAATTTGGGAATGTCAGGGAAATTTGCAAAATGGGTCACAAATATAATTCAATTGCTAGTATTCAGAACTTATTTCACCATTTTTTTGAAGATATATGGTGGTTACAGTTTCTACCCCTCTACACAACCCAACAGAATTGATTTGCTGAGTGAAAAACAAGTCCAGAGGAATTAGAAATCTCATTTTTAGCCCCAGAAGGTGGTTGTAAATATGATATAAATCTTGTAATATGTCATGCATGGTTGAATGTTGATGCTATGTCTCGTACGTCACCAGGAGATTGCTCTGCTTGATGGCTCAGCTCTCAAGATGCTGCCTTTACCCTGAACAGCTGACCATCTACCTCCAGCCTCCCTGGAGAAGTTGAGAGCCCAAGCTGTGCAGCTGATCAATGCTGACTGCCATAACACAGTAAGGCCTAAGGCTTCCATAACACACAACTGTAGTCAACTGCAGATACAGTTGTGTGTTATGGAATCCTTGGCTCTTACTGTGTTATGGCAGTCAGCATTGATCAGCTGCAGAGCTGCTCTCAAAAATTTCTCCAGGACGGCGGAGTAGATTGTCAGCCTTGTTTCAGGGTGAAGGCAGCATCTGAGCAGTTGAGCCACAGAGCATTCTTCCTGGTAGACAGTACGAAACATAGCATCAACATACAATCCATCCATGGACATTTACAAGATTATATCATTTTACAACACTTCTGGGCAAAATGAGATATTCTTTCCTCTGACTTGTTTTCACCTCACAAATCAATTCTGTTGCGGTGCTGTAGAGGGTTAGACAACTGTAACACCATATATCAAAAAAATGGGTGAAATACAGTTCTGAAAACTACATAGCAATTGATCTATATTTGTGACCCATTTGCAAGTTCTCCTGAATTCCCAAATTTATCAAATGATCCCAGAAGTTCTTGAAACCGACCCAAAATGGATGGTCAAGTAGGAAAATACATGGTTTGTCCAGTATTACTACCATACTAGATTCACTTATGTGTGTCGTTTCCTAGTAAAGATTTTTCCATTTTACTGTATCAGTAGTGTCAACACAGTGCCTCTCTCCTCTCTTCTCTCTCTCTGTGTTTCTCTGCAGAGCATGTGGCAATTGTATTTCCATACAGACCATTAAAGGAGGTCGATTAATCGAATCACAGATACTCGGTTACTGCAGTGAGAGATACTTTGCTGACAGCAATGGTGCAAAATACAATGTTAGCAAGTGCACAATATTTTCGGTTTATTATGAAACTGTGGCGAGCACCACAGTCATAGTAATTAGAGGGACACGCTGGGCAAGCCAGCGCATGCATATGCAGCAGCTTGTAGCTCTTCAAACTACCGCTTTTTTTTTCTTTTTTTCAAGCCTTATTGCTGAAACACAGAAGTAGCCTACAGTCATCGGAAAAGGAGGCGAGGGGTTTTGATTGAAGAGTAGCTTTGATATGATCTACGCAGCCAGATTGGCTGTACTAGTCCATGGCAGATCACCCTAGGAGGAGAGGAAGAGATCAGGGATAGGAACCCTGCTGGTCCAGCTCGGAGTTAAAGCTGCTCTTGGCTAATGTCCAGTCTGGGCAAAAAACTCTGGAAGCTGGAAATCAGAGACCAGTGTCCCCACATCTTTTACAGGGACCTGCAATATTCATAGAACTGTAGTGATATAAGTAACTCTTGCTTTAACGACACCGATCTTTTACTGACCGACGTCTCCCACTTTGACTGTTGGCCAAGGTGGTGGTTAGGGGGTTAACTTGTTTGAACGGTTAATTTCATGAACTGCATGGAGAAATTCACCCCTTTTTTGGCAGCAGATGTTTACATAGTCAACCCTCACTCTTGATTATGAATATATTTGATTAGAACGTTTCTGAGAAACAGCAGCTCCATCTAAATGACTGCTCCATTGATTTGTGGTAAGCTGCCTAATGTCAATCACTGGAATATTTATACCACAGAGAGAGATATCAGTGCTTGTGTCAAACAATCAAACAAAAACAGTTTCCATCTGGATACTTGGCGTAAATTGAATGAGAATAGATTGAAGAAAGCATCTCAGCCAATGGATGAAGTGGGAGAGCCTGTGAAATCCACAATCACCCCTTTCAGATACAACAAAGAGCAAATAGCCAACGTGATTGTAATCTCTTCAAGAGTAATGTAGCCATCAAGCGTTTCATTGCAGCCCTTGTCTCTAGAGCACAGAGTTGGACTGTTCTGAATGTGGCGTGAATATCAAACTGGTGGCTGTGGTTTTAAAAGGCAGCTTAGGTCTCTGCTGCTCACAGCCCCAGAACATGAAGAGGATTAGCCGGCTACCATACCTCCCACTGACTCCCAATGATTATAGCTCTGCACTGTCAGACTTCATTACATTCCCCCTTAGAAACTTACTTTCTAAGTACTGCAGACATTTCAACTTCTGATGGAACTAAATTTCTAGAAAAGGCAACTATTAAGCACCATGATGAATGTCCTGTATGTTATTTTCACAGCTGGATAAATGCAAGTGAGTAGTTGCTGAAATATCTTGTGTAAGATTAAATCTGATATGTGTGTGATATGTGTAACCCATAGGTGTTGGGTTAAGACATGTCATATTTTGATTAATCGAGCTTGAATTTAGATAAGCTCTTTTTTCACTTCAACTTGTGATTTAGCTGTTTTTGAGAGTTGAATAGGGACTAAACATACACCAAGAGTGTCTGTATAATATATGTAGCGCAAGAACCAAGGCAGCTACACTATTAATTACTGAATCGCATCCAATTTTTTAATGAGCTGCACATATAAGAGACACCCCACATATGTTTCCACCAACATTGATTTTTTTGGTCTCAAAGGAGCATATATTCAACAAATGAGTGAACACAAAGTACAACACACTGAACAACTGGTTGTCTGATTAGAATTCATAGAAGGCCCAAAATCCTGCGGAAACACGAAATATGTGACTACCTCAAACAGAAACGGACAGACATTGAATGGACTATAACAACTGCATAGAGAACTGGGGGTGAGTGAGAATAACGTCAGAATAACAGGGTAACTATCTGATCAGAAGGCAAACAATTTGAATTTGTAACAGTATGATTTTATCAACTTGTCATCTTATACTTATCATTTAACCATCTATTTTTATTCCAGAGAAGATTAATGAGAATGCATGCTTTTTAACAACCACATAAATTAATTAACACTTTCAGCTACAGACTGACCCAGCACCCAGCCTCAAGCCGTTTGGAGCTTGTTTTTCAGTTGCCATCAGACTCCAAATTGTCGACTGTGTCAAACCTGAATTTCTCCTAAGGATAAAAATAAGGAAATAATCTTAATCTCTATCTTATACTGCTTCATATTCCTCCAATTCCATATATTCACATCTAGGAGTACCACAGTACCCCAACTCTCAGTTACTTCAGAGGAAAAATCTTAAATTGTCTTAAGAGAGCACCTGTCACTGTAGGGAAGGATATTACTCATATTTTGACACACACCTTCCCAGTGATGTGAAGTTTACCTGTTGGAGAAGCTACAAGCCCGGGAATGTTCTCATCTCCAGATACAAGGACATTCTCTGGAAGGAGGTGCATCATGGAAACCAGCACAGGGTGTTTTTTTAACGCGCAGTCCAAACATGCTCCATCAATAGCCTTCAGGAGACTGCTGTCTGCAAAGACATATAAAAAACTTGTGTAGAACTGTTTTACTTTTTTACATGCATTTCATGACAAATTCTAGTAAAACTCTGAAAACAAATAAGTTAGATTTTTCACCCCACCATCATCCCGACCCACCCAAAGAAACTTCATCCATCTCTTTGGTGCGTCAGAGTCTAATATTTCCCCAGGAGCAATGAGTCACCTGACAACATGACATCCACCACACAGACACTTCTATTTTTCAATATTCCATTTGGGAGTTGGTGACCTAGGTGCAATGTTCCATTACACTGCGAGCATCGTTTTCCAGGGTTAAACTGAAATGACAACCATTCAACTTGGAAAACGCACTCCTCCAGAAAAGCACCGCAGCGTAGATGAGGCACAAGGTGTGAGCAATGAGGTAGACATTGTCATCTTTCAAGGAGGTCATCCAATGACAAGTGACGACCCACAATTCCTGCCATCAACACAAAGCACAGACCATTTGGAAGGAGAGCGAAGTGGTGTTTGATGCGCTGCATATGTTGGCTTCCTTCAAGCCTGAACAGCATTACAATCTTTCACTCTGACAGGGTTAATGATTGTACCTTCACCAGCATCAGTGACAATCAATACCGGAAGCTCCATTCACTCCCATAGGCTGTTTCAACAAGATGACAGTGAGCAATCTGTAGGTGAGTCATTATAGAAAGTGAAATGTTGGTGATGTCTCAGAGCATTTAAGTGCTGGGATGTGTTGTGGCTCATAATTATCATGGTGAGAAAAGTGATAAAATGACGATAGTTTAGATAATAGCATGACAACAGAACAACAGTTTCAGTTATTCAAACTGAAACTTTGGATGGATTCATAACCTTTTCTACCTCATACACATGTATAATTTAAAGCAATCTAATACAATGGTTCTGCAATAAATACTACGTTTGTGAGCCTTGTAATATTCCAATGTATTTGTGTTATGTTGTCTAACTAAACAGATATGGCAAGATGGTTCAAGTTTTTTCCACCACTGCTCATAACCACAGAAACCACAAAGAGGGAAACTATGTAGGAGCTAATACTACTGGTATCTGAGTTTTATAAATGATGCATACATCTCTTCATTAACAGTAAACAAACATACAAAGAAATAACAAAAAGCTACAACCTGTCCTGCTCTATTACAGAACACTCAGGCTTAAGGGATACGTAGATTGCTCAAAGTAGATGCAAGCAGCGTTAGAAGACAAATGCAACAGAGGAATATTGTTCAAACTATCTTTATGGTTTCCAGACATGAACTGTTGGTAATTTTTCCCTAACCTCCATCAAGTAGTTTTAGTTGCCTGAGCCTAGACAACCTTAAACATAGCAGTGGCAAATCAGAAAATCTACATATCGATTATTTTGTAAAATTAAATTTGTTTTGACAGTTTTAACAGTTTTGATAGGTGGTGTAAACGAAACCTAAACCAAAAAAAGATTGTTGCCCATTTCTGTTCATTCCTAGGTGTATGCTGAGGAAATAAATATAAATACTTTCTAAGCTTTCTGCCTACCACTAGACACATAAACAATAACGTAGGAATCCCTGAATTGGGACATGCAGAGGATCATCTCCACATTCACCAAAGACAGCCACTACAGAAGCCCATCATCCTTCTGGGTTCACGTTGTGCAGAAAACCAATAATTTCAAGCAGGACAATCGCCCTAAACACGCATCAAAGCGATGCCAGGTCTGTTTGAAGTCCAAGGAAGAGCAAGGATTGCAAGGCTTTCCCTCCCCTCCACAGTCACAATGCCTAAACCCCCAAACATGTTAGGGAAAATATGAAACGAGAAAAGATGAGACACACTTTAACATCACAAGACACTGTTGGGTCTTGTGAAAGGGGGCTGGAATAATGTGAATTTTCCATTTCTACAAACACTACAATCAATACCAGGGTTCAAGTTGTAATCAACATAAAAGGATTTAAATGGACTCTGTTTTACTGCTAGTATCAAATTGTACAATCTTGTCTAAGTGTGTCATTATAACCATCAATGCTTTTTAGACTACATTGGCTGACTATGTGTAAGTGCAGCCCAAAATGTATGGCAGCGCAGACTGTATGCAAACACGCTCATGTATACAAACGCCCAATGTAGCATAAACAGAATTACATTGCACCTTTAATGAATGTAATCCACACAGCAACAGTTTTCCTCTCAATAAACTGTATTTATCAGCTTTTAAAACATCACTGCATTTATTCTAGTTCTGACTGCCTTCCAAACTTTGCCCACATCAACAAAAAAAAAGTTACATAGAGTTCAGAAACAAAGTAACTTTTGGAAGGAAGAAATTGCTTCTCATTTCAAAAAATGATTTAAGACACAAAGTACTCTTCAAAACTAGTAAATCTATGACTAACATATTTATGTTACAATGTTATTTTTAGGAACCACAGAAGTAAAACATTTGTAATTTTTTTATCAAGAAAATAAAAGCAGCAAAATGACAAATTGATCACTGTGGAATCGCATCAATAGTGCGACTGAAAAAAAAAAAGATTTTATGTTACATTTATTTAAAATAAATTGTATCTTAGAGACTACCGGGAGAGGGACATTTCTGGTAATAAACAAGTTATTTTTCAATCATATAAAACAAAAAAAAATATGGAAAGCGGATGAGTTCACAGGAAGTATGGGCAGAATGTCCATTTCTGCTGTAGACAGTTTCTCATCCATTTTCAGGACACAGCCAGTACCTTTATCTTTAAAGTCAATGAAAGGGGATTGAGAGTGAAAGAAGATGATGTAGTATATCGCTGTGTACTCTTCCTCTCCATGACTCAGCCAAAGTCTCTACCGCTAACATATAACTTACTACAAAAAAAGTGCTTATGTGTAAAGCCAAAAAAACGGAAGATGGAAAATGGTTTGAGGAAATCTCTGAGGTTTCAGCACAGCTTTATCTCTGTTATACAAACGTTTTCACTGGTGAAAGGAGCATGGAAAAGGTGTTTTTACCATGAAACACTAAAAGTAGGATAGGTATGAAGGGAGAGAAAGGGAGGGAGAAATCAAACAGAACTTTCTTGACACAGATGGTGCCCAGGTGTCTGCAACTTTTTCATCATTTATTTCTTGTTATTCATTATGCATCAAGCTTGGGTTTCAGTCAGATGCTGTGCATAGATTAGCAAACTACACCAAAATGTCCTTACAGCAGTGGCGTGGTACCTCAGAGTCAGTTGAGCAGCAACTTGGCAAGAGATGTGAAACCAAGATAGTAGGGGAAAAATAACCCAGAAAATGGCTCAGCATCAGACAAACAGAGGCAGTGGTTTTGGGAGATGGTTGAGTGGTAAAGAAGAAAGTAATAAAGATGGGGTGATTGAGAGCAGGTTTTACTGCCAACTTAGGAAAGAATGAAGGGATTTGAAGTGGTGACTTGCAAGATTCATTTGTTTTCTCTGCTTGGTACCAAGAAATTACTACTACATGCTTCTGCATGTCACTTCCCGGAGATCATCTGTCAAACAGTGAGGCCAATGTAATTGCAATGTAATTTCTATAACAATTTATTATTTGGGCTGAATTGATTGATTCATCAGTGGAGAAAAACCTGCCAAACATTCCCAGATTCAGCGTGAGTTTGCTGCTTTACTTTTTTATACATCATTTTAAATTGTTGGGTATGGTCAAACATATCAAGCAGTCTGAAAAACTTGGGATGAGGGATTTTTGAGGAAGATACTGATAGATATTTGAGAAATACAGATATATGAGTTAATGTTTTATACACAAAAACATATAGCTTAAACATGCATGTATTAAGAGGGACATTTTACAGTTTTACATTTCTGGTGGGAAAATCATAAAATGGTATCTCTGTCTCTCAGTTATCTCAAACATATGTTTGGCATTTTTTACTGCCTTTACTTGTTTCTTATCAGTTGACACGGTGATAACAAAATATATCTGCAATAAGCTAATAACAATACATCAGCCCAGCCTGTTGTACTTTACAATTAACACCACCAAATGGCAATTAGGGGTAAATTTGTAGGTGCCTTAGATGAAGCCATGCTATAACAAATGAGAAGGTGTTAGACAGTCTGCAATGAGAATCATGACTACAATGACTGCAACCTGGAGTGTTACTGGTGTAAGGAGAATTCTAGTCATTAAAATTGGGGTCTTTATTTCATAGCTTTGACCATCACTTGCATGAGTAACAATAACATGCACCAAGCAACCAAAACAGTTAAAACTGATTAGAGAACGAGCACACCCCAAATCCTTATTATATAATATAATTTTAGCAGTTAACTTTGTTTTCTCTTCTAAATTAGTTTGCATAACCTGGGGGTTTGTTTTAAACCTGTCTGATTGCCTGACTGCTCAAGTTTCTCGACCTGCTGAACTTCTATTTAGTGACACTACAGTATATTCCGAGATCTTAACAATTAAATTGGTGAGAACATTTTCATCTTAAGAATGGGAACATTGCCTCAAACTACGAAAACAAAGGCGAAGTTGTAGGAAACTGGAAGTATCCTGTAACAAAGTTAAACTTTCTGTTAATGTTGCTGTATTCCCTGCTTTCATTATCCATGAAAACACAAAAGAAGTGTTTAAACATTGTTGATAAAGTTGCAAAGCAGAGTTGCCTTTGCTCAATATGACCCTAAACATAAGCATGGGAAAGTGTAACTTCATTATGTCTGGTGGAGGTTTGAAGTTCACCCAAACAGCAATAAAGCTTGGCGTAGGTGGTGAAAACAAACACTTATGTGGGATGCCTTAAGAGTTAGATATGCAGGTGAAACCACTTTGAAGGCACTAGCAAACCTCTTTATCTTAGCCACAGAGAGGCTTTTTGGTATATCTGTGACAAAATTTGTCATGGCACTACCTTTTTGTCCCCCTCACACAGACATACACAGAATAAATTGATGCATCGTGGTGTTGCTTCAAATTAAGATATGCTAATGTGAACACAATGTACCATCTGTTTGTCCTCTCATCA